GGGGGGGGCTGACTCATGCCTCCCACCACAGCCAGCTTACTCTACTGCGGTACTTATGTCGAGTCCAGGTTTGTTCAATGGTATATCCAGCCCCTTATCTTGTTTCGTCACTCTTTAAAAATGCAGCCGTTTTGCTTAACCAGAAAGGTACCAACCCAAGCAACCCGCCTAACCTATCGAGGTCGATGTATAGAAAACTTCAATATTACGGTGCTTTGCTACTCGCACACCACGTCTACAATGGACTGATTCCATAAAAATATGATGTACTCGGTAAAAGGTTTGACGAGAGAGGAGAGCATGAACATCAATAGGATTTTATAGTTTTGTCTGTTCAAACTCCTCCCCGCCCCCCTATCCCTTCCTCCCCCTTCCCTTCCTCCCCCTTCCCTTCCACCCCCTTCCCTTCCACCCCCTTCCCTTCCACCCCCTTCCCTATTCATGAAAGGGTGGTTGTACTCCCAGCTGGCCACTCGACCCACCACCATATTTGGGAGGGAGGCCCACACAGCAGTTTCCCATCCTCTGGTCTGTCTCATAGTCGCCCTTCACGGCTCGTTCGAATCCCTTGCTTGTGTACTTTATGCAACTTGATTAATAAGTATGGGTATGATGGAGGAAGTAGTGTGTTTAAAGGAACCCATGGTGGCGTTGCGGGACAAGGGAGACATCTCCCGTCACGCAGGGTGCAGTCGCATCTCCACAGATCTCCAGTATCCTCTATCGATACTGGTAATGGCTCCAAAGGGCCACCACTTACGGGCTATTCATGCCCGTGCCACCTTTTGGGTGGCTTAATCTTCATCAATCAATCATGAATCGTTGCAGGGAAGGGGAGTCGGTCGGCCGAGCGGACAGCACACTGGTCTTGTGATCATGTGGTCCTGGGTTCAATCCCAGGCGCAGGCGAGAAACAATGGGCAGAGTTTCTTTCACCCTATGCCCCTGTTACCTAGCAGTAAAATAGGTACCTGGGTGTTAGTCAGCTGTCACGGGCTGCTTCCTGGGGGTCTTCCTGGGACCCGGTCCTCGACCAGGCTGCGGCCTGGTCGAGGACCGGGCCGCGGGGACACTAAAGCCTCGAAATCATCTCAAGATAACCTCAAGAAGGGTAGTCAGGCTGGGTCGCTTGTGTGGTCAAGTTTGGTGCGTCTGATCCTCCGCCACACCGCCAGCATCCACTCCATGGTATGGGTTTAGGACGATGGTCTAGTATTTGGGGCCAGAGTTCGAACCTTCGAATATCATTGTGAATTAATGTCCACAATCATGTAATAATTGGTGTTTGTTTGACGAATCCTGACCATTCTAAATTTCCCTCAGTATCTTGTATGCGTGATCATGTCTCCTCTGTAATCTAGGGGACTTTCACTTTCAATTAGAGCCTTGGCTCAGTTGAACCCCCCCCCCCCCCATCCTGAAACCCTCAACAGGTTATGCTCCAGGAATGCTCCTCCAGGGCTGAGATCTAATGGATACCTTACCTTGCGATGATTCCGGGGCTTAACATCCCCGCGGCCCGGTCCTCTACCAGGATTTGGGTGGGTAGTGTTTGACTCATTCAGCCACAAAGGACAGGTGGATAACTTTGAGGCTCAAGTAATCCACGTTCCCATCTCTGAGGCCTCCTGGTTGGTGGTCTGGCCAACCAGGCTGTTAGACGGAACTGCTCGCAGCCTTGACATATGAATTAGGGGAATGTCCAGGTCTCAATGTTGATCATAATACTTGAAGTAGGTGACCAGGCTTTGAGGGTAGACAACCCTCCTACAACCCCCTCCAGGTATAACTTGTTTCAAACGTGGGTTCTGTAGTTACCCTGGTCTAATGTTCTTATAATAACCAAAGCGTCGGACTGATCGGGTCCGACGCTAGTTGTGCTTGAGGGATGAACTGCCTCTTATGGGGGTCCCACCTCTCGATTCTTAATCGACTGGTGTGTATCGGTTAGTGATATCAGATGTAGGGAGATCTCGTATGGCTGGTCGTGGTAGGAATTTTGTATAAAAAACACATTAGGCCTATGGAGGTTGTAGGTCTTGAGGATCTATACATTCTTTCATCTCTCTCCCTCCCGTACTGGACGAGGCTAAACGATTTAATCTATTACAGCCAGAACGAGGTTATAGGATAGGATAGGCCTAAAATGGCTTAGGCTTGTCCCGAGGGCCTTGAGAGCCCTGGGGGAGGGAAAAGAACCCATGTTCATCTCCGCTAATTACAACTCAGGCCTCGCGGGGCATGTTGGGCAACCTTCAGCCGTGCTCATGATTCGTTACAAATGCAACAGTTTTGCCCAGAAACGTTAGGAGTAAAGCAACCTCGCTAGCTTAAGCCAAAATACATAAAACGTAAGTATTACGGTGCTTTCCTTGTTACTAATATGTCGCATTTTTTAAGGATTCGTTCCGTAAAAATGCAACCCATAAGAAGGGGACCTATTGGGTGAGACAGTAAATGTCACAGGTGAGGAATGATTTAGGGGGGGGAGGGGGGAGTGCCTCGCAAGCACTTCGGTATGCAGTTTAACTTCCTTGGAGGACTGGACGGGTTGATTATCTATTATAAAGAGTTGGGGGAGGGGGGGGGGTCACTGGCTTGTGGTCGAGAGGGGAGGGGAGGCAAACTGTTGCTCCCACGGTGATAAGGGGGGGGGAGCCGGAGCCCTCAACAGGTGCCCCCATCCCTGCTTGCTTGCCTGCCTGCCTCTGCCTGCTTGGCTCTGCCTGCCTGGCTCTGCCTGCCTGCCTTCAAGGACTGTACGCTTCCGCAGCGGTCGCGATGGCACCGGTATGTGAGGAGGAATTAACATTCCAGGTAGGCAGGGCGCTCCGCCCGGAGGGTGCACTTTACGCGCGGTAACTGCGCATGACGGACGTGGGAGAGGACTTTGTGATGGACTCACGGGGCGGCACTTGGTCTTACCCAACTTCTTAGAGTATAGCTTTGTTGTATACAAGACTTTTAATGTAGAATTAATCAGGTTAATTAATTAATCAGGGAGCCGGTCGGCCGAGCGGACAGCACACTGGACTTGTGATCCTGTGGTCCTGGGTTCGATCACAGGTGCCGGCGAGAAACAATGGGCAGAGTTTTTCACCCTATGTCCCTGTTACCTAGCAGTAAAATAGGTACCTGGGTGTTAGTCAGCTGTCGGGCTGCTTCCTGGGGGTGGAGGCCTGGTCGAGGACCGGGCCGCGGGGACACTAAAGCCCCGAAATCATCTCAAGATAAGGTCACAAGACACCCCCCCCCTACATGCAGACATTCTCCCCCCCCCCCAACATCCGCTCGTCTAACAACTTGCTTGATCAGTCAACCATGAGGTGTGGTCAGAGACCGGGCCGCGGAAGGTGCTGATCCCCGAAATCATCTCAAAGTAGTTGTACCATGTTGGTAGACTAACCATGGTAGGTGGTAAACAGTTGTGTGTGGGGGGGGGGTCACCTTGTGCCTCTCAGACGGTGACGAACATGTCAGCCTTATAGAGGAGTTTCTCCACTGTGTGCAACTCTCAACAGTTGCCCAGGTACCTGTTTACGCCTAGGTGAACACACACATTAGGTGAAAAAAACGTGCCTAACGTTCGAACCTGAAGCCAGGTTCGAACCTAGCTTCAGGTCGGGCCCGGGGAGTAGAACTAAGCTCGAAACCCTCTCCAGGTATGCTTCGGATAAGTGTCTATCCCGGGGATCAAATCCTTGGTTGTGGGTCGAGGACGCAGCCTACTGTGCTGCAAGACACTTTAAATTCCCTTTCATAGGTTTATTATGGCCATATCCGAGCACTGGATCTGTGTATCTATGTATTTACGTATGCGAGTTAGCTTAGCATTTTTAAAAGTACCGAATCACATTCTGTGGTTGATTGTTCAATAAATCCCTCAACTATATGTTTAACTGATCTCTAACCCTGTCCATGGAGGACAGAAGAAAATGTATATATGCTGGTTAGCATTGTAAATGTGTGGCCACGTCTGTGGTAGAAAATAATAATAATAATAATAATAATAATAATAATAATAAAACCTTGATCCCTTCACATCCCCCTGGTAGACCTATGGTTGCTCTCTACGACTTTGCCCCCGTTGGATATAGGCCTATGCCCGTACCGAACCACTTGACCCCCTTCACATAACCCACTCGTTATGTCCTAGACTGTGACCTGTACTACTCCAGTAGGGGCGGCCCAGCGTGCCCGCCCTTACCCACTCACGGTACAACAAACTTTCACAACTCGGTGATCAGGGGGACAATGACAAGAATAATGGGAACTGCATATATCGGTTATTTATATCCCGCCAAACTCGCTCCTGTCTAACCTACACTAGAAACAACCCACCGGTCCCGCGTCTGTCATTACTCTACAGTCCTCCTTAAACGGCTAATTTGAAGTAAAAAAAAAAAAAGTCAACTTTTCGATGACTGTAACCATGTCCAATCAAAAGTGATTTGTATAAATCGCTGCTAAATACTTTCGAAATCTAGATTACACATTATTTTTTTTTAGTTATATAATTTAGTGTACTTTTGTTTAAACTTTTCATAACGTTTATAATTTAAAATAGTTTTGAATGGCTGTGTTTGTAACAAATGTGGTTGATTGTGGGAGTGTGGAGGAGTGGTGTTAGGGTGTTGCACCTTGAAGCTGAGGTGGTCTGATCAAGCCAACGACTCCATTATTCAAGGTGCTGCTCGACCACCCCCTCCCCGTCCCCCCTTTGCTTTTGTTGTCGGCCTCGTCGCTTCTGCCAGGTTCCTCGCCTCGATTTGTCGATATTTTTGTCCGGGGGGGGGGTAGGGGGTGAAGATGGAGGGGGTGGAGTTTAAGGACAAAGTTGAAGTGTCAAGTATTGAGTTATGATGGCGTGTGGGCTGTCCGTCTTGACGATATGTTGTGTGGGCTTTTTTTCCTTAATGTTTTCCTCGCCCCTTAATGTATTTCTCCCCCTTTAGCCATTTTTTTCTCCCCCTTAACAATGTTTTTCTCCCTCCCGTCAGTTGCACCAGAAGTCCACACCACCACCAACCACACACCACAATGGGGATCCGCCACTCTAAGAAGTCTCACGACATTCAGTCGAGCCCCAAGAAGAACGGTAATCCCGAGACTGAGGTCAAGATTAAGGAACTTACCGACGACGCCCCCGTCAGGCTGGAGGAGGCAAAGACGGTGGAGACCATAGAGGAGGTGGCAGAGAAAGCCACAGCTCCTAATGGTGATGCTACAGCAGACCAGACACAGATTGAGGTAAAGTGAGTTGCTTTGTTCCAGGGAGGGAGGGGTGGTGGCGGTAGTTTAGGAGACAGGAGGGTGGTTTTGTAGTTTAATTGCTAGTTTGGGTTAGATAGGCCTCTTAAGAACGAGGCCTTAGTCATAGTAGCATGTATAATCCCCCAATAGAAAAGCCCACTGGGAAGTTCATTGTATGAATGAACATACTAGGATAACAGCATGTGCAAAACCTTTAACACCTGGGGTAGGGGGGGTTAAATGGTTTACCCAACTCTTGATAGCACTAGAGGGTGCTGCTATCACCCAATTTTTGGCTAGGAAACCTTTCCAGGGTCTTAAATCCATGTTCTGGGATGCACTCGATCACATCACTTGGTACTGGGAGCCCTGGACTCAGAGAGGACTCCTCCTCGCATTTTTTTAAATAATTATAACTAAACGGCCCCCCTTCACTCTCAACATCTTACGGTCACTGGATCATCCTTACTCTACTCACAATGTACAACCTCAGTATTCACAGACTGAATTTCACTCTACACACTTCACATAACTCATAAAGGACAAGTGGATAACATGTGTAAATTCATTTATTTCCAGACTACAACATACACCACTTGAGTTTCTCGCTGAACTCCACTCCACAGTGACTAGCCCACTGATAAGCCCACTTCTGAAATCAGTCATTTAGAAGGCCTAGTCAGATATGAACTATACTCCACAACCCAGAACTTTGAAAAGTTCTCACATTACACGCCAAGCGCAGAACCTGGCTTGCATCTTGGCACACGATACACCAACACACTAATTATCCACTGGGGAGTATCTGGCCCATGCAAGAGTAGTACCAAACCTCTTGCACACTCCCAGATTGACACACCGATGACTGGCATCTGTCACCCACCAGGGTCTCTCATCTCTGACCACGAGCCTGGAGCCCAGGCTGTGTTGATGGGTGCTTGTCAAGGTTCTGGATCTTTGTATATATACACAGTATGTTTGAATTCCTAGACCTAGGCTCCCATCATCTCATTCGCTATGGTGTGGGAAATGAACAACATGGTCACCTGAGACCGAATTTTCACTTGTCACGTGGTTAGCGCGTTCTTTGAAGGTATCGCGCCATTTGACCCCATTGTGGATTAGCACTTAGAATGGTCCAAGTCTCTTAAGATCCATCTGGTCTTGCCAATTTAAGTACTGACTAAACACTTAAGCCTTTCCCCATGTTAACCTAACTGTCAGTCTTCCCACAAGATCAAATCTCTTTCTGTGTACATATATAAATATGAAATACATCACTTGTAGTCTAAGCTATATGTATCTAAGCCATGTATGGTGTTACCCGCCGCTAATAGGAAGAGAGAACTCTACTGGAGTGTTCATCCTGTGAGTGAACAGACCACCATAGCAGCATGAACAAACTCTCCGATCCCGTCCTCCATGTAACACTCTGGGCTTTTTCTATCACTTTCGATAATCCAGTTAGGAACTTAATAGAAAGGTAGTTAACATAGTAGTTATTTGTAATCATAGTTTGATTTATTAGCATGGCTAGCTAGCATGTGGTGGTCAGAGGTGGGAAGATTTGGTGTGTGCAGGGGTAGTGTTGGGATGGCGTGTGTATGTAGCTTGCTGGGTATGTTGTGTGTAGGGTGTAGTTGGGATGGTTGTGCTGTCCTTAAGTGTCCCTGTCTTGCAGGTCAGCACACACTGATTTTGGAGAAATATTGTATTGTGAAATATTGAAGAGATTTTTTTCGTGCTTGTATATGTATATCAATTTTTTATGATTGGTAGAAGTGTGTGTGGGGGTGACAGTCTGAGAGTTCGTGGAGTGGGACGACTAAAAATTCACTTATTCTATCCGTTTATACAGCCCCCCCCCCTCCCATGAATGTAATATTACTCTGGCTTTTATCACCACATGCGATAAAAATTACTTTTTATCTGTAAAATGGTGCCTCCATTATATAACACGGGAATAAGGTTTGTAACACCTGTGGATGTGTGTTGCAGCGGACCGCTCAAAGCAACAGCCTGTTGGACCAAGCTCGCAAAAGTAAAGCCTGGCTCCAATCAGGACTGATTAGAAGAGCTTGCAGAATTCGGGGAAGGATTGAACCTTAGCGATGAGCCTGGTGACGGTCTTATGATGGCAGGTGTCGCGTCATCTTGACTTGTTCACATTCCCATGGGGGGGTAGGCTTCTTGTCTTGCAACTCGTGCAGAGGTTGATCGCCTCATTAATCCCTGATCAATAGTTATAAGACTTGGAGGATGGATTAACAAGCTAGGCGATGTACACAAAGGAATGACATAATAGAGATATGAAGTAATTTGCGTTTTTATTGTAATCCTAAGTGTGTGTGTGTCGGGTTAAGATATGTTCTTTAAATCCTAGCAAAGAATGATTAAAATCAACCAACTCAAAGAACAGATGGGAGGTAACGATGCTCCTATTGTGTACCCAATACTTCCCCCTCCCCATTATACAATCTCCACTCCCCATACTACGTTTTTTCACTTTCAGCCTCGGGTATGCCATCACCACGTCCGTCCCGCACCAGCTGGTTGTATAGGCTTGCCTCAGCCTGTAGGCCCACAGACCAGTCGGTGAAGCCTCTAGGTACCCCCTGCAGCCGTGGGATTGACCTATATGTACCGAAAGCTCCTTCCTCGCCTTGCTTCTTGACTAGTGTGGTCTTGTTTTACCCGAACATTCGTGTTAAGCACCGTCCATCACAGCCGGAATGAACGCAGTTTTGAACAATGTTCCTCAGAGAACACACAGATGTTACACCACCTTTTGTGGGTATAGTTGGGGAGGGGGAGTGTAGAAGGGCCCATCAGTGGCCCGGCTCGCCTAAGGAACGGGGGTTGGGTGGGTCACTGTGAGGTCTTGCTTTTTCTGCCCCGCCATAGCCTTGGTGTACCTGTTGTCATGGCTTAACTATTTAATAATATTCAAAACCTTTGTCGAGCCTATCCTTCAAGGTGTGGATGGAGGTGGCTTCCACAACTTCTCTCAGGGAATTCCACTGACTCCTGACTCCCTCGTACAGGCTTGCCATGATTTCGGGGCTCAACGTCTCCTCTTACTCCTGGAGAGTAAGAGTATTTCCTTACACACTTACTCGTTTATCCGTCTACCACTTGTACTCTTATCTCTTCTGTCTGGGTGGAGTGCCACACTTCACTTTCCCCAGATTGGCTTTACTGTCTTCCTGTTCGTCTTGCAGACGAGGAGTCACAACGTGGCTGAAATATGTTGACCAAACCACACTAGAAAGTGAAGGAACGACGACGTTTCCGCCCGTCTTGGACCATTATCCAAGTCGATTGTGGACCATTCCTAGACTCGCTCACCATCGACTTGAGAATGGTCCATGACGAACCGAAACGTCGTCGCCCCTTCACTTTCCTGTTGGTCTTGTATATGGGTATAACAGTGATGGTGTGATGTCGAAATCTCCTAGGGGGTATGACCGCTCTCGGCCCCTTTCCAGGTACAATCCAGGTAAGAGCACTAGTCGAACGTGCCAGGCGTGTGGAGTGACCCAGAACGCGCAAGTTCAATCGTGTTGCATTACTCGGATTTTCTTAGTTGAAAATGTAGGAATGGTGGTGTACGGTGGGGGCTGTGGTTGGTTCAGTGGGTACGGCTGTTATCTTAACCAAGGTGGGTGTTGCTGGGGTGACTATTGCGTAGTGGGGGGGGGGGGAGGGCTACACTTAACACAATCAGTGAGTCAACTCTGATAAGAACCAAGTTGGCTTCACCCACTGACTGTTCCGGCTACTTGTTAAATAATGTTCTGCTGTTCACACTCGCAATAATCTACCTATTGTTGGTTCCCGGGATCAGTGTCCACGTGACTCGCATCATGATTGGCGGTCAGGCCAATCAGACTTTGACGCAGCTGGTTGGAGTTCAACGTACTGGTCACGGTCGGGTTGATCAGGTAGGTGTTGATAGTTACCTTGATCTGAAGTCTTCAGCTGAAAGTGGAAAATCTTCACTTTCATCTAAGGTGTAGGCTATAGTTCTTGCCTGCAAATTTTATTAATACCCAAGCTATTCATCTGAGCAGTTGAGGCAGATGCATAGTCATTATAATGCTTTAATTTGCAGTAATACAAGGCATTATTTGCAGGAATCTGTCGAAAACGGTTTTGGGTGCGAGGGCAGGCGGAGGTTCCCCGCTTTGGGGCCTTGTGGTGGTGTTGGGTGGAGCAATGGTGGTGTACTAGTCTAATTGTGCTTGCGGGGGTTGAGCTCTGGCTCTTTGGTCCTGCCTCTCATCCGTCAATCTACTGGTGTACAGATTCCCGAGCTTCTCGAGCTCTTATCATATCTACATTTGAAACTGTGTGTGGAGTCAGCCTCCTCCACATCACTTCCTAGTTCATTCCATTTACTAACTACTGACACTGAAATTGTTCTTTCTGATGTCTCTGACTCATTTGGGTACTCGGCTTCCACTTGTCTCCCCTTAACTTGTGCGTGTATCACCCGTGTTAAATAATCCATTCTTGTCTACCCTGTCAATTCCTCTGAAATTTTGTATGGTGATCGTGTCTCCCCGAGTCTGTCCAGCGACGTGAGGTGCATTTCACGCAGACTTTCGTCGTAACTCATGCCTCTTGGTTCTGGGACTAGCCTAGTGGCATACCATTGAACTTTTTACAGTTTGGTCTCGACTAGTGTACAGATTGTGGTTGGTTGCTCCTGGTGGTGGAGGGGGAAGGTCGTGTTGACGCGTTGCAATACGTGGTTTGGGTTTAATTTGTAGTATAAGCCATGTGCTTGCATAGCTTCCAATGTAGATGATAGAGCCCAGTAGGGTCTGGAATCTGTACACCAGTTGATTGACAGTTGAGAGGCGGAACCATAGAGCCAGAGCTCAACCCACGCCAGCACAACTAGACGAGTATGTACATAAAGGTACCCCGCTAAGCTTAAATGTGTGTTTAGATACGTGAGTACATACACATTTACACTAAAATGTGTTCAG